ATTTTTAGTAGAGAAAGGGTTGCACCATGTTGGCCAGGCTGATCTCGAACTCCTGGGCTCAAAAGATCTGCCAGCCTTGGCCTCCCAAAGTACTGGAATTACAGGCAGGAGCCACCACGCCCGGCCAACCTGTGTTTTAACACATCGTCCAGGTGATTCTGTTGTTTGCTAAAGTTTGTGAGCTAAATTATAGGAAGTCATTTTAGAAATATTTCTGGAATCTTTATGTGTAATGCAACAGAGCAGATGTTAGTAACACAAAAAAGCAGACCCTCTCCTCCGACAAAAAACCTTTAACAGGCCGGGCACAGTGGCTCACACCTGTAATCCCAGCACTTTGGGAGGCCGAGGTGGGCGGATCAAGGAGAACTGCTTGAACCCGGAGGCAGAGGTTGCAGTGAGCTGAGATCGTGCCACTGTACCCCAGCCTGGGTGACAGAGTGAGACTCCATCTCAAAAAAGAAAAAACTTTAACAAACCAGGAGATAAAAATTTACAGTGAAGGCCGGGTGCAGTGGTTCATGCCTATAATACCAGCACTTTGGGAGGCTGAGGCTGGAGGATCACCTGAGGAACAGGAGTTTGAGACCAGCCTGGCCAAGAAAGTGAAACCTCCATCTCTACTAAAAATACAAAAAATTAGCCGAACGTGATGGCACACACCTGTCCTAGCTATTTGGGAGGCCGAAAGAGAATCACTTGAACCCAGGAGGCGGAGGTTGCAGTGAGCTGAGATAGCGCCACTGCACTCCAGCTTGGGGGACAGCGACTTCGTCTTGGAAAAAAAAAATTGTCTACAGTGAAATGGTTCAGGCAGAATAAAACTAGATTATAAAAAGGCTTAAATGCCAGACTAAGGAATCTGGGCTCGATCCTGTGACTTGGAGCAGCTGCTTGTTATAGTTTTAGAGCAATAAATGGTATAACAAAATGGGAGTTTCAACAGTTCAATTTACAAATAGGGTAATGGAACACAAAAATAATAATTTGGGAAGATCAGATAGAAGCTAAAATGAGGAATAAGGGATAGTTATGATAAACTTTTTTTTTGTAGAGACAGAGTTTTGCCATGTTGCCCAGGCTGGTCTTGAACTCCTCAGTTCAAGCGATCCACCTACCTTGGCCTCCCAAAGTACTGGGATTACAGGCATGAGCCACTGAGCCCAGCCTGAGAAACATTTTTTTAAAAAATGGAGCCACACAGCCGGGTACAGTGGCTCATGCCTATAATCCCAGCACTTTAGCAGGCCGAGGTGGGCAGATCACAAGGTCAGGAGTTCGAGACCAGCCTGGCC